GTTCATGCACTTTCTCAAGAACCGAAATTCTACCCAGCAATGTTATCTCAAGTGATTTTGTGGAATCCAGCTTCTCCTTCTATATCAAATACCAACTTACCAAAGTGACAAGGGGCACTTGCTTGAGTCACTGCGAAAACACGAACACGTTGTGAAAACGGGGTCAAACCACAAATAAAGGAGAGCGTCACCAAAAGATAGGTCACATCATTTTGATGGACTCACAAAAGTATGGAGTAATTGTGTAAGATATATATATATATCTCATCTAGTGCCTGCATTATCATTTATACATAATTAACCCTATCCATAAACACAGCTGACCCTCCTTGTTTAATTTATAAGTAGGGTTTCGAGACTACCAGTAAATCAGTAGTATGAGATGTATTTACCCAATTTCGTTTGAGGTGGTGAAGGACTGGTAGTAGAGTTTTCCCACAATCAGATGAGTAGATGAGTAGAAAAAAAAAATATATATATATTGTATATGTAGAAAAATTGGTTTTCGAAGATTCTCTCAATAATGTTGGAGTACGCTTCATTTCGTTTGAAGAGGTGAACGGAAGAAAACCGTAAACTAGCCTCACCGGAAGACGAAGGCCGATTGCCTTGGAGCTGTGACTGTACATTTGTGCGGATAATTCTGCGGCCCACTTTACTGCGATCCCGATGAAGCCTTGTTGAGCTTTCGTCCATCGTGTGACGCAATTTGTCAGAGCAGGACACCATCTTTAGGAAATTTGATCAAGACAAGAAGAAAAAAATGTAGTCTGCTTCAGTCATGCCTACTTTTTGTAGCATAACTTCATGTCTTTTCACAAGTTTTCCATTTAATTCATAGTCATGTAGGAGTAGCACTAAAGAATAATAGAGCAAATAATTTTTTTAAACAAATATAAAATTAAAAATAGTGTCAAGGGCAGACAATGAAGAAAACTCTACTGCCAGTCCGTCACCACCCTAAACGAAATTTGGTGAATACATCTCATACTACTGACTTACTGGTAGTCACGAAAACGATACTTATAAATTAAATAAGGAGCGTCAGCTGTGTCTATGGATAGGGTTAATTATGTATAAAAGATGATGCAGGCACTAGATGACATGCAAACATACAAGATTATCTGTAAGGTCCCTACAGAAGCCCTAAAACCTGTAACATTGTGTAACAAACGGTAAAGTAAGGATGTGAAGAATGAGCAGACTTCTTCAGCAAGGTGCCCAGCTCACAAATGCGTATGGTCTGCCCAAAATAGACAAGGAAGAAGTCGTCCTCAGAAGTATTGTGCAAAATAAGGGTTGCGTGATGCATAAGACAATAACAAATAAGGCAAATCTCCATTTCCCGCTACATCTGCAGCCATTTTAATTTCAGTAAGCATGTAGGAAAAGGAGAGGATAGCCAACCAAATCATAAGATATCTTACAAAATTGGGCTAAAAGACGTAGCCGACTATCATTTTTGTCTTCATGTTTTAGGGAATTATCGAATATATAAATATATATATATATATATAT